CACGAGATTAATTAAAAATGGTGTTCAATCGTAATCAAATGTAATCGTGTCTTTTATTACATTCACGAACTTATCAAATATTCCATCAGGTTAAGGGCCCAGAAACCAAATATTGATAAGTTTGGGAATAAGCAGCTGAGCTTGTGTGTTTGTGAAAGATGCGGCCTCGAACTCGGGAAGTAATTTCGCCGTGAAAAAGTTTGGAATATTCCAGTTTGATGGTAAGAACTATGACCATTGGAAATTCCGAGTTCAAACTATGCTTGATCACAATGGAGTTAAAACTTGTGTGGCACAGACCATAAATCAAAATTCGCAAGACGAAGTAAAGCTAAACAAAAAATGTAAAAATATGATTGTACAGTGCGTTGCTAATTCCCACTTAAAGTAAATCAAAGATAAAACAACATCTCGTGATATGTGGTTGGCACTTGAAAAAGTGTTTCAACGGAAGGGCATTGCATGCCAGCTCTACCTGAGAAAAAAATTGTTGACTATTAGGTTAGAGAAAGGCGGAACACTTGAAATAATAATATTGTCACCGCCGTAAAAACTTTGGAACAAGATAAGCTGACATTAGAATTTGTTAAGGGCATACTTTTAGATCAAGATATGTCCAAATAATCTGAATAGAAAAGATTCATCTTGGGTAGCAGCATTTAGTGGGCTTAATAACACCAATAGAAAGTGGAATATTAAGCATGAGAAGAAATTTAATAACCAGAATAATCCATATGCTAGTGGTGAACAGAAAAAGAAGTTTAGTTGTCATCATTGCGACAAGCTAGGCCATTTCAGAAAACAGTGTTGGCACATTGCCATCATAGCAACTTCAGGAATAGTCTTGAATTGTGTTCCTGAATTCCATTCCAAAATAACAGAATCAAGTTTGTTGTCGACTCGGGAGCAACAGATCATGATATATGATCAATCAAGATGAATACTTTTGCAAGGTAAAATATTTAAAAGAGGAACTTCGGAGAACAATGAATTGCTTAGTGCTATTAAGGTAGGAGTTGTTAATGTTGAATTACATGGGCAAAGAATAGGTTCAGGTGAGATTAAAGATGTGCTGTATCTGAGAAATTTACGCCAGAATTTATTGTCTGTCCAAGAACTAGAGGATTCAGGTTTAAGAGTGATTTTTGAAAATAATATTGTTGGCATTTTTAGAAATTCTGATTTGATAGCCAAAGGAATAAAACAAATATATCTATTTGCTAAAAGTGAGATAAATATAATTTCTTTAAATGAAAATACGAATGACTGTCAATGAGAAATAACGAAAATCATATTTTAAAAAATAAGTTTATCAGGTACTAGATGGCGGTACCTTCTTTTAATAACAGATATTTGCATTTTCATGCTCATTATGGATAGATGGCAGTACTGATATCTTTGCTGATATTTGCCTTTCAGATATTATTGGCATAGCATTATCCATGGAAATGTGGCAAGTTGACCCTCGTATAATAATGACATCATATGTCAAATTCCAGACAAGTTTAAGTGTGTTTCACATAATTCCGTAAGTGTCGCAGTATCAAAATTCTCTGGCCTATCTGGCCAATCAAATTTGACACATTTGTCAATATATTTTTCAATAGTGGAATACATAAACGGTACCTTACTATTCTGCATACCTGCAAAATCCATTGACATTTTTCAAAATTCGGCATTGTCAAATTTATTTCATATTTAAGATGTCCAAAATAATTTCTCAAGAGGAATAAGGGAAATAGGAAATAATAAAAAGTTACGGCTACTTCGAGAAAAGTAAACCAGAGGTTCTTTAGGGAATAATAATTGAAGCCCAACTACCAGATATATTTGGGGTAGGTATAGTTTAAATATAGGTGTAAAGCCATTTCTTACAACCAGCAACCAATATTTTTGTTGGACCAAACCCGCGAAAAAAATTACTGCGAAAACATATTTAGGCTGTTAAGCTTACTGTTATGGTTACGTTGGATTTATTTTATTTCAAATAAATTAAATAATTTTACCAAGTACCCATTTTTTTTTTAAATTAATTTGGAAAAATATATTGAATCAACTTATATTTTACACATTCTGGCAACTCGGCTTTCTGTTTTATAACCCTGAAATTTAAAAATTCTTTTGTCATCAAATGTCATTATTATACGAGGTTCAACGTGTCAAATTTCCATGGATAATGCTACGCGAATAATATCTACAAAGCATATATTGAATTATTTAAATTTTGTAGATACTTTTAAATTACTTAAGTTATGAATTATAATTTTGCTAATTCTCAAAAAGCAAAAATACAACTTTATGATGAAAATTAGAAGAAATGGAACATTATCGTTCCCCGTTGATGACTTGACTAAAGCTGAGTCATTGCCAAGGTCCATGGGAATGGAGAATGATTCGCTATATGAATGGACAGATTCGGACATCATAAACAGTAACCCCACCACCATGCCGCACTTCCTGCCCGTATCTTAAGATCTATGCTGGCGATGTGGGCGACCAGGGCATAAAAGGGGCTCATGCACTGGAAAGCCCATCTTGTTTTGTTCAGGCTGCGGAAAAGTGGGGGTCATGTCGTCCAAATGTATTTGCCTAATCATATACCCTCCAGTCATTCTGCCACAATTCAACAAGAATAAGCGAACTCCGAAAACATTTTCCAAACCCCAAGGATCTTGCCGACGCCGACGAGAGGGATTCCACGCCTGTCCACTATGTGGGTGTTCCTGTGGCATGCGTCCGATAAACCGCAACTAAAAGTTTCATAACCGAACTTATAAAACCGACCGTGAACCGTTCATTTCTTTTAGGATAAAACCGGACCGGCGGTCAATCGGGGCTTTAAAATAGAAGAGGGAACACAGGAGCGCGAAGATTTTTTTATTCATTATTTTATTATTTGGGTAGAATATATTATATATATATTTTTTTGTTATTCTTTCTTTTGTTTAATTTTGTAATTATAAATTTTCAAAAAAATTTTAGGGTAGAAAAACATTTTTTTTTTTGTCAAAGAAGGGGAAGTGTAATGAAGTTGCATAATTTTCTAAATCCGTAAGGGTAAGTTTCTTATTTTTCAGCCAATCGCCCCGTTCTTTTTCATTTTAGAAACCTAAAAATCACGTCATCTTATTTACACAGTGAAAATTCCGCGCAACTATCGCGAAAACATCGGGAAATTGCTACGAATTTTCCCAGACGAATAAACGCGCAAAAATTACCATGGTACCGAGAGAGCTTGTCTCCGATCGCGATCGATCCTCCGCCAGACCATAAGCAGACCCAAGGCATTCAAACCTAGCTGGGTACAACACGGTGACCGGAGAATTCATTCGAGTCCGAGCAACAGCAGCCACCGCCTGCAGCCTAGTTACGAGCTCCAGTGCGTATCGACCGAAGTATTATGGTAAGTAACGCTCAGTGATACCAGTTTTCCGTTATCCGCTACCGTATCCAATTTCCTTATTGTGGAGAAATCCCGATTCCCTAATTGTGGAGTAATCCCAATTTTTAACCGACTACCGTAACCGACTTCCTTGTTGTGGAGAAATCCCGATTTCCTAATTGTGGAGTAATCCTGATTTTTGATGGTTACCTGATTGTTTTGTAAAGCCAGGTTTGGCAAATAATTATTTACTCCAGTGAGACTCTGCTTTGCTGTATTCATCAAAATACGGTACGCCGGCGCCGTACGCCTCTGTTATGGAAGCGAGCTGGCCATTGGCTACCTTGGCTCTTTCAACAGAAGGCGTTCCTTATCTTCGGGATTTTGCTAGAACGGCAAAGTTCCACTAATACATCTCCCATATAGGAATTAGTGGCTCCGATGTCAATGAGTGCGTAAAATACTTTGTCTTGAATGGTGACTTGTATTTTCGGTCTATCATCTATTGAGTTAGATAAGATATCAAGCGAGACCTTATCGGCATTTTTCTGTACTGGTCTCGTCTGGGTACAGCGCCTTACTAGTTTTCCGGTTTTCCACACGGACAGTCACGGGACATTATGTCCTGCTTGCCACATCGTGAACAGAATAGTTTTCTCGGGGCTTGATATTGACTCCTTAAATGTCCGCTACTCCCACAACGCCAACAAACTAATTCTGCTTTACTATTTGTATTTTTTTCTCGTGACGGTCCTGGCTAAACAAGGGGCGCTGGTGTGGTGTGCAAACGGGTGGTCGTACTGCTGACATGTTTGGGTATCTGGATGCCTCCAGGGATGCAGAGATCGGTCGTCTGTATTGGGCCTCTTGTCTATTTCCAGTGGCGGGTCGGGAGTCACTGATTTCTTTATTTAACAATTCAAATTCGCGAATTAGCCTAGCCAAGGATGTAGCATCGGTGAAATCGCTTTTGCGAATATACTGTCGGTATTCGGGTAGTAAGTTCCTGTATAGCCAGTTTAACTAAGTATCTTTACTCATAAAACCATGTCTTCGGAGGAGTGTCTGAAGTTCCGTGACATAAGAAAAAGAGTCTACTTCGGAATTAACTAGAAATTGTCGGAATTCGGAAACAAACTCACTCCAGTTCCTCCAGCTATGCTTGTTATTTCTGAACCACAGGGCAGCTTCACCTTGAAGTAAGTCGGGTATATGGAGTAACATCAGTCTTCCGGAAATGTTTCCAGAGTCACAAATTTCTGTCAATCTTTCCAGAAAGTTTGCCGGATCCTTATATCCGTCAAAGCTCAAATTCCATTCTCGGGTTCTCATATGTGATCTTGGTGGTGTCGGTGGGTTTTGGTGCACCAGTAGATTATAAGGCGGCGGCGGATAATACATCGCATAAGAGTAGGTCGGATAATAGAGGGGTTGAAGTGGCTGGTAATACAAAGGTATATGTGTTGGTTATGTTGACGTGGTTGTGACGGCCGTTGTTGTAGTTCTACTAGAACCTGCACTTTGAGCTGCGGTTGTAGCTGCGGAAGTCGTCCAGTTTATTGTTGTGGTGGTAATTTATGACGCAGTTAAGACCGGTGTAGTTATGGAAGGAGGAGGAAAAACAAACGCGCCATTTCCTGACGGCTGGGGTGCTGCCTTGCCATCTAATGAATCTGGCAAGTCGGCGTCGTAGCTGCTTAACATTTCCAGAATCGACAAGGTTGAATTTCTGCAGTTGCAATATCAGATCATTTTTACGTAGGTAGTAGATAGATCCAGCTGGTCCGAAAATCACTAATATTATGGTCTGGTGGCGGAGATGATGGTGGTGGATGTATTTGTATAAATAGCCGTTGTTCTTCGTCTTCCTCATGATTCTCGGGGTCGGTATGGAGGTGCATTTCTTCGGTAGCTTCTTTTTCATCTTTTTCGGAACCGGAATCGGACGTCATCGACATGTAGCTAAAAAATAGTTGTTGTAAGACAAACATTTTAAAAGGGATCTCTTTCGCTCAGGCCGAGTTGTCGTTTTCAGTTTGTACTTGCGCACTAGACTCCCTGCTCGGGCGCCATTTTGTAACGTTTGCCTATTTTCCTGTCTGTTCCGGTATTTCGGATTTCTCGAGCGCCACCCCTTTGTGATTTACAGCGTCAAAGGGGACCGCTGATATACCTGTTGGTTAGCCTTTAAACAATGAAGATGACGATGATCCAAGGTTCAGTGCAAATAATACAACTTGTTTAACAAAATTAATTCAATTTATTTTTACTCACTATGAAACACTAGCCCTATACATTGTGACGGGAATGATAATAGTCACCCTATTTACGCCGGTTTTGAAAGCAATATTTTCCACGGTAACGGTATTTAGCACGGTAACGCTATTTATCACGGGAACGCTATTTATCACGGTAACGCAATTTGTCACGGTAACGTTATTTATCATGGTAACGCAATTTGTCACGGTAACATTATTTCATTACCGCACGCTATTTACCACGGCATCGTTATCTATTATGTTTATGGTATGGGCGGATTTAGCTCCAGCATCCGTCTGTTATAATAAACAGTCTAGTGAGTAAACTCAGTTCGGGCATTTTCAGTAAAGAGGGATTGCATCTAGGAACAGGATATTTTCCGGCGTGAGTTCGAATGGACTGGTCAGGATCGTTTCAAGACGGAATTATCGGGATTACTCCACAATTAGGAAATCGGGATTTCTCCACAATAAAGGAATCGGGATTTCTCCATAATAAGAAAGTCGGTTACGGTAGTCGGTTAAAAAAAAATCGGGATTACTCCACAATTAGGGAATCGGGATTTCTCCACAATAAGGAAGTCGGTTACGGTAGTCGGTTAAAAATCGGGATTACTCCACAATTAGGGAATCGGGATTTCTCCACAATAAGGAAATTGGATACGGTAGCGGATAACGGAAAACTGGTTTCACTGAGCGTTACTTACCGCAATACTTCGGTCGATAACACTGGAGCTCGTAACTAGGCTGCTGGCGGTGGCTGCTGCTGCTCGGACTCGAATGAATTCTCCGGATACCGTGTTGTACTCAGCTAGGTTTGAATGCCTTGGTTCGGCTTATGGTCTGGCGGGGGATCGGTCACGATCGGAGACAAGCGCCATACTCTCGGTAGCATGGTAATTTTTGCGCATTTATTCGTCTGGGAAAATTCGTAGCAATTTCCCGATTCATTCGCGATAGTTGCGCGGAATTTTTACTTTGTAAATAGGATGACGTGATTTTTATGTTTCTAAAATGAAAAAGAACCTGATTGGCTGAAAAATAAGAAAATAAGAAAGGTACCCTCACGGATTTAGAACATTATGCAACTTCATTACAAGGGATTGGATTTGAGATGAAATCATAGTGGTGAGATTCTGCGTTCAGGTAGCAGTTTTTGTACATTGGTTTGCGGTAAACTGAATGTTGTAGCTTTCCGTTCGATTTTCTGGATATCAGAACGACAAGGTGAGGGAGTTTGCTTTCTTCCTCCGTTTCCATAATAAATTGGTTTTTCCAGTGTCTCGAGTTTCCGACAAGTGTGCATTTTCAATTTGAGGCGCAAACTAATCGCAGTAATATCTAAATTCAAGAAAACGAATAGTTTCAATGAGCGGTTTTGAGCAATTTCACTACAACATTTATATAACAGAGATCTTGGAAAAACATTTCTGCTAGAATATTTCGAACTAAAAATTCTTTTTAGCAACAAAAATTAATATTGAAAAAGGCAGTATTTTGAAAATGCTTTCGAATAAAAAACGAATATTGCCGCTTTGTAATATAGTTTTTTTTTTTTTCAATTAGAATTTTTATTGGATTTTGCTTGATGTATTTGCCTACGCATAAAAGTTTTATACTTGAATAGAATAGTAGATAACAGGAAAATATAATATGATTTTATTGAATGTATGTGATTCATTTTACCATACGTTCTTAATGGAAACAATTTATGAATGTAAAATACATATCTATCAATCAATTTGTGAAAGAGCTGGCTCTGAAAAACATACGTTTTTACGTAGATGATAAGTTAGATTTTTGAAATGTTTATTATCTTACTGCAATATAATGGTGTCGAGTTCTAACATGAGTTCCAGGTATCTAAAATGACTCTAAGAATGTGAAAACTAAATAATAATAGTTACATAATTCCTAATTCAATAATTAAAACTTTTTTTTTCATGATCGAAGTAATAATTATTAATTTGAGAAACTACGATGCACACTTATCCAATTAAAGCTGACATAATAAACTGACCTATTCCTATTCCACATATTTGTTTTAGAGGACCGTCCGTGCCGCTGCCTTTCTCCATCCATCTCTGCTTCCATTGTGGAACTTCGGTATGGAAATGAATCTTGAGCCGCCCGCTACCGCCGCCGCCACCACCACCGCCGCATTGTGTGGGTGTTTTGTGACGCTGTATCCGTGCATCGATCGGACACGGTGCGGCCGGCGGGTGGCCGCTCCCTGTTTTTAGAGATCAGACCTACCTGTGGCTCAATTCAACTAAATATCGTAGTCGAAAATAGATTTAAGAATGGAACAAAAATATTCATAATTTTTCGTAGAAAATATGATTTTTTTTTGCACAATTACTGACAGTTTTTGGTTGGTTTAATAAGTAGATACACCTATATCCACAATTATTACTAACGCGAAAATATGTCAACTTATCACGTATAGTATAAAGCTTTCAAGGAATGCAAGAGAAACAAATAACCGATACTTTTATCATATTGTATGCGTCATAGAGACGCCTCACATTGATGTGATGTTTTTTCAGATTCTAATTACTAGATTTTTCTTCAAAGTGTCATTCGAAATAAAATCTGAAAAAGTTTTATTTGGGTGAGTCACGAATTTTGTATAGATAAAGGGTATCGGGAAAAGTACCAGTTTCGATGAAAACTAATAAAAAGTTACAGCCCTTCGCTCATTTATTACTTGAGGGGAAAACCCCATTACCGGTTTATCACACGTATTAACTACGTAAATAAAAACTCACAACATAGAATGTTGAGTAGGTATTAGTTGTATTATCTTATCCTGGTGATATGAAAAAGGTAAGCAATGATAAATTAATAAATCAGCCACCCGAGGGAGAGAGATCCGACCCGCTTCGCGCAGCTTTTCATGTCGTCACCGTAGTCTTTACTGCTGACGCGGACTCTACCAGTTTCTTATATTAGTCTTGTAGACAGAATTATTGAAAATTCATAGGAGTGGTGAACTTTTAGCCAAGTTTTTGAAATTTGGAATAGTATTAGGGTATGGAAACCATTGCAAACAACTTGTGCGCGACCTCTGCGTAGCCTGTTTGATGTTTCACTTTGCAATTGCTGAGCAAGGACATACCAAAGCGTACCTCATTACAGTGGACACAAAGATGGTTGTTCTGGCCATCGATCACTTCAAAGGGTTGAATATATCAGAGTTATAGATAGATTTTGCAGACCTTTAAGGAGATTCTAATCCTCTGCTCGGAAATCCTTCTCTTTTTTCATGGACCTACGGGGTATGATGTTTGGAATAGGTAAAAAGACAGCATGGAATGCATGGGGTGCTTATCCTGAAGTCACTGATACTTCAATTGACATTAAAATACACCGAATAGTTTCGCGTTGGAATCATAGCACATGTCTCATCTTGAACGCTTCACAGTTCTGATGTACAGCATAAAATGTGGTGCAGATTCTGTCAATGATGCAAGGAAGATAATGTTTACCCAATGCCTGAAGGCTCTTGAATCTATAACACCATCATCCCAACAGGCTTTATTTCTGCATAAAAAGCGAGAGCTGCTCACTACCGCATTCATTTGGAAAATGTCTCTATCCAAACCTCCTGATATTCCTGATGGGGTTGGGAATAGAATACAGAACTGTAACGTTTCTAAATACTTTGGATTAAAAATATGTTATTCCTTACGGCAGCTGTTCATCGGAAAGCATTTCTGGTCGTGTTTAAGGAGTGTTTTTTGAGGGGCCACGAAGTTTTTATTTATAAGGTCTCAAACCTCGAAATAGACCTCAATATCAAATCTAAAATATTATGTATTAAAAAATAATAATAATACAACAACGCTCTAGGATGTCAATTTAATGAGAATCATAAATGTAAGAATAATTTTATTCCAACCCAGTACTACTTATTCCTAACTAAATATTGTTGTGTAAAATAATAATAATGATCGATAATTTTATTTAAATTGAGACCCTTTCTAATGGTGTATCTGCCCTTAAAACTCATATGCTCAATCGGACAGCGAACTGAACATAGAAATGAGAATAAAAAAATATCAAAGAACCTCGTTGGGTCTATCTGCTCTGAAAATTCATATACTCAACCGAACAGTGAACTGAACATAGAAATGAGACATTCCAACTAGATAATGCTCAATAAGAAATATAAAACGACTTCGTTGAGTCTTCTGCTGTGAAAATTCACATGCTCAGCCGAACAGCGAACTGAACATGGAAATGAGACATTCCAATTGGGTAATGCTCAATATAATATATAATATAAACGCTAAAATTTAAACGTATAGAAACCTGTGGTCACTAATTCCAAGTCGAGGTGTCATCAGGGACGATAGGCACTATCCATCAGGGACCATGAAAGTGACTTCAGAAGTAGGAAAACTAACATTTGAAATGTCACAACAATATAATTATTGTTCTTAATTATTTTCATATATTTTGGACTCATTTAAACAATGTTTAAAAGTACTATTTCGTACACCTAGCGACATCTATGATTCTTCTGATTAGTTTCCCTAACCTAATACCGAAAATTATGTTATTAAGAGGTGGGCTCGGAGATGTGTTCGGCTTGCTCACTCCGTGCACTTCGAGTGACTCCATTCGCACTCCAGCCATTCGAGCTAAGGTTATTTTTAAGAAAAACCCATAGCGCTGTCATTTTTATAATTTCGACAGGCTTGACAGACCAAAAAAAAAGGAGACAGCACAAACTTTTTGACTTGGCCTTTCCTATTTTGTCGTCGGACTGAAACCGTCGTCCACATTTTTAATCTAAAAAATCCAAAAATTTTGTGTTCTTGGCCATCGAGCCCAGAGTTTGATAAATTAACTAGCCA